AGCTAGTGAGCTCAACAGCCTGAGAGGAACCTCATAAAAGAGAACAAAGACAAATGCAAAAGCTTTGCTTGTGGGAAGGACAAACATCTTGCACAGAGCAGCTCTGCTGGAAAGGCCCTTGGGGTTACATTAAATAGCCAGCTAAACACAAGCCAGGAGTGTGCCATGGCAGCAATAAAGGCCAACCGAAGCCTAGTGAGTTAATCAAGCAAAGTAATTATCATCTTTCACCAAGCACTTGCTGGACCGTATCTAAAATAATATATTTGACTTTGCGGCCCTGGTAAAAAGAATGACATTGATCACCTGCAGTAAGCTTAGCAGAGGGCCACAAAGAGGTTCAGAGGCCTCATCTGTTCTGTGAGGAGGCTGAGGAACGTGAGCTTGTTCAATCTAGGAAAAAATGGCTTCAAAGAGACCCAAGAGCAACCTGTGAGGAGCCAGGAGGTTATTGAGAAGATGGAGTCAGGCTCTTCCTGGTGGTGCAGTGTGGGACACAGATAATGGATGCAAACTGAAGCAAAGGAGGTTCTGACTTGATACGCAGCAAAAAAATGTATCTACCATGAGGACAGAGCATACTGTCCAGAGAGGCTGTGTCATTTCTTTCCTTTCAAGTTTTCCAAGACCCAACTGGATAAAACCCTGAGAAACCCTGACCTGTTCTGAGCAGGAGGTTGGACTGGAGATATCCTGAGAACCTTTCCCTCTTTTCCTGACTATTCTCTTAGCATATCACATCATTAAGAACTTCAACACACCATTATTCAACAGGATGATTTGAAATAATAAAACTATGCTGGATAATGCCAAAATTCTTTTCTCCCTCGAAGTTACCCAAACCCCTTACTGCATGCAACTACCTCACTGACCCAGAAACATTACCCATGGTATTTCCATATCTCCGGACACGTACTTACACTCAGAAACATTTGTGTTGCTTTATTAAAATGCCACCAAGTCTGGAAAGGAAAGGTTTAGAGAAATGCAGGGCCTAGCATCTGGAATTTATCACGTTGTTAAATGCAAAGGTAGCTAACAACAGGAGGAAAAATAAACCGTGAAGATCTATGGGAACAGTCAGTCCTATCTGGAACATACTTCACCCTGCAATACACAGGGTACACTGTGTACATCCACAAGCTGAAAGTTGTAGGCCTTACAATAGCGCTGAGGCGATGCGTGCTGTAGGTTGAGCAGCAGGGAAGAGAGACAAAAAAAAGAAAGGGAAGGTCTCATAACCTTGCCAGGGGTTATATCTTGTTTCTGAACACAGAGTGTTCTAGGGAATGTAGTTCTTCTCTTCCAGACCAGTGCATGGAACTGGAACATTAACTCTTTTTACTCCCAGTGCACTACATGTTACGGTGTGGAATACCGATAATCAAAATCATAAAACCATGACACAGCTTCAATTCTGAATTGCCTTTGGTGCATCTAAACAAGTATGTTCTAATTTTTTTCAGCACAGGAGTGGATTTTTGACTAATATTTTTCTGAGTTTATTTTATATTCACTTCTTTTTCCTGGTCTTAGAAATAAATATTTTGCTAAAGTAAAACAAAAGTAACCAAGTGACAATATCTCATGACTCAGACAACCAGTTGGTTTGGTTAGAGAAGTAAACTAAGAATTCTCTTGGAAATTCACTTCATCAATAGCCAGACAGCAATGTGTCTCTAAAAATCCTTGCAAGTTTTCATAGTGGTTTCCACTCTGAAATAAGCTATGTCTTAAGCTTAAACAGATTCACACAGAAAACGTAGAAAAGTTTAGAAAATGAGAGAAACATCACAGAATCATTGGGGTAAGAAAGCACCTCTGGAGATCATCCTGTTCAACCCCCCTGCTCAAGTAGGCTCCCTATAGTAGGTTACACAAGTAAGTGTCCAGGTGTGATATGAATCTCCAGAGAAGGAAACTGCACAGCCTGTCTGCGCAGCTTACTCCAGTGCTGTGTCACACTCAAAGTAAGCAAGTTCCTTCTCATGCTCATGTGGAACGTTTGTGTGTTCATTTGTGCTGCCCTTGTACTGTCACTGTGCTCCACTTTTCAGAGTTTGGTCCCACCAGCACTTCAGATGTTTATGAGCATTGATAAAATTCCAGTTTCTATGGCATGAGTGAGTTGACTTAACTCAGTCATGGGTAAAACAAATGTCAAAGCAACAGGGCACTGTCCTAGGACACTAAGGTTGGTGTTGTGTATCTCCTTCACAATGCAGACATGAAAAGATAGCACAAGTAGGAAGTAGCAAGGGATCCTATCTAGCAAGAAATGAAATTGCAGAAGCAATAAATCAGGAAACTCCAGGCATTGATTCCCTATAGTTTCGGTGCAAGCTCCCCCTTTAATCCTACAGGGTTTATACACACTCAAACAGCCTCGCCCTGCTTCTTCCCAAATTTACCCTCATCTACCCTCTGAGCTTTATCATCCCCAAATTCTTACCGCCTTTCTTTAGAGTTTCTTCTTCCTCACTTAAACTCATAATCACAGTAAAAATAATGGCGTCAATAAGATGCTCATCACCATCACAATAACCACTGAGCACATACATCCCACCACTTTCCCCTTCCTTTTTCCATTTACTTAAACTGTCCAGCACTGGACAGTGTCACACCTTTATGCAATACCTTGGAAAACGGGATGCTAAGTGAGATAGTAGAGGCTTGCAAATTTGTCCATGCAGACAAATTATGCACAGGCTTGCAAACTCCTCTCTGTTTGATGTCTGTAAACTCTCACCAAATAAGGCCTCAGTTACAAAGGTCAATCTATAACCTGAACTTAGGAATTTGAAATTTACTACACAGGCTTAATAGGCCAATTAACTTCTCTGCCCTGGGTGGCATAAAGTTAACTGCACATGCAACGTATGATACACATACAAGGGGGAACATGTATTAGGCAGATCAGGAAGCTGTAATCTCCAAGTACTTCAGCCAATGAAGAAAGGAGAAGGAACAATGTAGTCAGGAAGAGGGGATAAAAAAGAAGCTGCAACCTCTGGTGGGTTGAGAGACATGCCTACAGAAAAATGCCCCCAGTAGTCTCTCTCTTTATTTGAATAAAGAAAGCTGAAGACTCTCCTCTGGCTCTTTTTGGGATTAAGATAATTGAGCAAGCCTATCAGAGCAAAAGAAAAAATTCCCAACGTGTAGTAACTATCACAACAAACATAACTACAGTTTGCATTCTTCTGACTTGCCTGACAGCCAATATACAACAGATTTCTTTCCATGCTAAAAAACAAAATAAAATCTCTCAAATCTTTGTAACAACAACATATATATATATATATATATATATATATATATATATAAAATCCCTTTCTCAGTTCTCTGTTTAATTCACAACTGTCTTCCTTCCCATCTTCAAAGCTGTGTGCAGTTTCAGTTAGCCTCTTTGATGGACTAGAAAATAAACACTGTTTTTCAGCAAAGTAATCCATTTCAGTGCACAAAAAAAACCCACAGTAAACTGGTAATCAGATGGAAACCAATTAAGAAGCAACCTTGCGTGCATCAGATCTATTGCAGAGACTGAGCCTCCCCTTTACACTTCCTCTTCCACAAGACTCAGTATCTGTTTACTTGTGGCACAAAGAGTTTGAGCTAACAACCAAAATCCAAGCAGCTTCCCCTTTATATTTACAAGGAAAACAAACACTACAAAAATACATGGGCAGCAATGTAAGCAGAACACCAAGGGGAAGATGAATAATGCACTCCTGAACGTCAAGTTACTGAGGGATATTCATAACATCCCAGCTTCTTTCCCACATTGCAACAAAATAAAATGTAGGTGGAACCAAAGCCCTGCTGTCATTAGAATGCAAAGAAAATCATTTCATTTAAATTCACTCATATGTTCTAGCCAACCATTTATGCAGAAACATTTTATGTCTTGTACATACAGTTCAGGTCATTCTCAACATTTCAGTCAGATGAAAAATAGACAGTAAATTGCAGGCAAAAACACTTCCTCAGCAGTTAATATTCAGGATCACAGATAATTAAACCACAGAGTGGTTCTGTCTTTCAGGGAGCTTTATTTCTTGCCTGGCTTCCTGGCTGTTTTTTGTCTCTAGCGCTTCTCTCCTGCTTCTGGCAGATGAAGTGGAGGTGGAGAAGAAAAAGGAGGAAGGCTCCTGGGGAGATCAGGAAATTACAGTAATTTCCTACCTGTGAGCGGGGAACAGTTTGCTCAGGTAACACTGACCTGTTGCTGCTACATACTCCTCACCCCATTTATTTTTTTTTAAACTTAGGTTTAAAAGATGTTTGTAATTATAAAGTTACATAACCCCAAGTCTAGTGCATTTATCTCCTTTCTGCCCCCAAACACACAAGAACAATAACCGCCCACTCATACATTTCATCCACCTCTTTACTGTTGCTGTGAGCAATTTAAAACAAAAAACTGCAATTTAGAAAGATCCTCAATCATGCACCTACAGTTCATTGGCATTTAGTTAACACCCAAACCTGATATGAATATAGATACCACCCATCAAAATGACAGTTAATGCCACAGACAATAAATCATCTCAAATCCCTAAATTAAGCAGCAGTATTACCATAGGGACAAAGATACTCTTGGTATGCTCCTTGATTACCTTCCCTTGTTCAAAACAAAGAGAGAACTGTCCTCACACAGCTCCACTTATGTTTCCTTTCATCATTCTGAAAAGAGAGCTGTTTAATATCCAACATTGTGTTTTCATCTGGAAAGATCATCTGAATGCATGGGGAAATGAGTCTGTATACTTTTTTTTTCTTTTTTTAATAACTAGAGGGGAAATAGATCAGAATAGATGGGGAAAGTGAGGAAATAAAATTTCTTGCACATTCATTTTTAAATTAGACGGGGAAAAGATCTCAAAAAAGTTATGGAAAAAGTATAATCCATGAAAGAATAACATTCTAAGAGCTGAAAGAATCTAGTTATCTCTTGTTCACTAGAAATCACAAAAAGGAAAGTGATGACTACTTACATATAATAGGTAGGATATAACCCTTCAAAGTACCAGCAATGCTTTTTGGCCTCTGTACACTACAAAGAAAGAAAAATACCTTATTAATATTTACACAGAACAAGGTGCAATTATAAACACAAGCACTGAGTGTTTATAAATACTGTTATTTTGAGCAATTTGAAAAGGTGTCTTTTCCCAAAGACTTTGCAATCTTGAAACATACATCTGGGAATTCAGTGAATCTGAACTGTGACATGCCCTGTTCAGGTTCAGATCCTTCACGGTGGGCTTTGTCTATGGGGCCTCAAAGGTTAACATGATTCATGACTATAGTTAATAGACTCTGTGCACTGCATGCATTGCCTGATAAAGTGGTCTCTTAAAAGAATATGCAGAATTTAAGAGCTCACTGTGGCTGTAGTCACTTAAGAGATCTCCATCATATGCTGAGTTTAAAATGCAAGGCATAAGATTGCACAGTGAAATGCAGGAAATTATCCATCTTCACGGAATTCTCTACATGCAGAGCCAAGCTTGGAAAGGAACAAAACAGAGATCCAACTTCACCTTCCTACATCTTGGAAATGTTTCAAGTGTTCATTTAATGACCTGGGAAAGGAAACTGCTTTCTGCAGCGAAGGCCCATTGTTGTCTTTTGCAAACTGTCAGCATATCCTTGCTAAGGGATGGTGACAGGCATTTTCTCGGGGGGAGGGGATGGTGATGCAGGCGGTGTGAGAAATGCTATCACCACAGGCACCACTGGAGTGCAGACAGCAGCTCAGAACAATAGCGACGCTTAAAAAAGAAAAACAAATGTCAAGCCCAAACTATATATACAAGGCAGAAAATACTTCTGCATATCCTGCTGACAGTGCTAGCATAAAGTGGTGCCTCCCTTGCACATATAGTTTCAGAAGCTCCACCACAAACTGCATTATCTGATCACATACAGACTGGGGATTCTGGGACACCTCCACAGAGCAGCAAGAAATCTCTCCTGGGATTTTAACAATAATTCTCCACGCTGCTCACACCTGACACCCAAGGTCAGAAAGCACTTGCACATCAGCAGCACTTGGATCATTCTTCATGTTCACTTGGCAACTCACCTTTAGATCATAACTCATGTAAGCTTACTAGCCTCCCCGAATCCCAGAATACTAAGTGAATCCAGTTAAGATTAAGTGGTTTTAGATCACTGATTCTTACTCCTCACGAATAAGAAAGGCTACAAGCTATCTAATGAGCATTTGATGAGCTAAATCACAGATGGATCAATTGTAGCCCCTAAAGACAAACTGCTATGGATTAAATTGTTAAGACAAGTACAGAGAGGGGAGTAGGAGAAGAGAATGCTGATGCGTACGATCAGGTCTGACTACCAATCCTATGACAGGCTCCCACCAGCTCCAAGAAGCACACCTTTTGGTTCTGACGGAAGAACTAGAACTTTTTCCTTCAGGGAAATCTTTGTTCCCTTCTCAAATCTATGCTGCAATGAATGCAGGGATTTGAAGGAGGGCTCTGTGGTTTCTGTTGGAGATGCTGGCGTTCAGAGAGCTGTCTTCAAATTTTATAGAATCACAGAATTACCAAGTTTGGAAAAGACTTCTAAAATCATCCAATCCAACTGTTCACATAACACCAATAATTCCCACTAAATAATGTCCTTCAGTACTAAACATTTCTTCCACATCTTCAGGTATGGTGACTCTACCACCTCCCTGGGCAGCTCATTCCAGCACCTGACCACTCTTTTGGAGAAATCTCCTAACTTCCAACCTGAATCTCCCCTGACACAACTTGAGGCCATTCCCTCTAGTCCTATCTCTAGTTATGAGTGAACAGGCCCACCACCACTTCACCACAACCTCCTTTCAGGAAGTTATAGAGTGCAATGAGGTCTCCCCTGAGCCTCCTCTTCTCCAGACTGAACAATCCCAGCTCCCTCAGCTGCTCCTCATAAGACTTGTGCTCCAGACCTCTCACCAGCTTTGCTGACCTTCTCTGAACAGGCTTCAGAGCCTCAATCTCTTTCTTATACTGAGGGCCCCAAAACTAAACACAGTACCCAAGGGGCAGCCTCACCAATGCCGAGTGCAGACAGATGATGACTTCCTTGCTTCTGCTGGCAACACTATTTCTGATAATGCATCAGGATGCCATTGGCCTTCTTGGCCACCTGGGCACACCGCTGGCTCATGTTCAGCCAAACGTCAGCCAACATCCCAGGTCCATTTCTTCCACACAGTCTTCCAGCTATGCTGCCCCAAGCCTGAAATGTTGCCTGGGGGTACTGGGAACAAAGTGCAGGACCCAGCAATTGGTCTTGTTGAATTTCATCTCATTGGCCTCACCCCAGCTATCCAGCCTGTCCAGATCCCTCTGTAGGAACTTCCTACTCCCAGGAAGATCAACAGTTCCTCTCAGATTGGTGTCATCTGCAAACATACTGAGGGTGCACTTAATCCCCTCATTCAGGTCATCAGTAAGGATATTGAAGAGGACAGGCACCAATACTGACCCCTGGGGAGCACCACTCATGGCTGGTCAACAGCTGGATTTAATTCCATTCACCACCACTCTCTGGCTATGGCCATCTGGTCATTTATATACCCAGCAAAGAGTGTAGCTGTCTAAGCCATGAGTTGCCAGCTTTTCCAGAAGAATTCCGTGGGAGACAGTGTCAAAGGCTTTGCTGAAGTCTAGGTAGACTACTCAACAGCCTTTCCCTTTTATGACCACAAGTTGCTCTTGGGGAGATTTAAATGAGATATAAGGTATTTTTCTCTCAAAGTGTGGTCAGGCACTGAAATGGCCTGACCAGGGAGGTGGTGGAGTCACTGTCCCTGGCAGGATTCAAGAGGCATCTGGATGATGTGCTAAGAGATGGTTTACTAGCTTAGTGGTAGCAATGGTGATACGAGGACAGTTGGACTAGATGATCTTGTAGGTCTTTTCCAACCTTGTGATTCTATGATTCCTTCATCTACGAGGCAGGTCTCTTGATCACATAAGGAAATCAGCTTGGTCAAGCAGGACCTGCCTTTCATGAATCCATGTTGGCTGAGCCTGATCCTCCAGTTGTCCAGCACATGTACTGTGATCTCCCTCAAGACAGTCTGCTCCATAACCTCTCCTGGCACCAAAGTCAGGCTGACAGGTTCCCTGGATCCTCCTTACGGCCCTTGTAGATGGGAGTCACGCTGGCAAGCCTCCAGTCCTCTGGGACCTCTCCGGTTATCAGGAACACTGATCGATGGTGGAAGGCAGCTTGGCAATAACCTCTGTCAGCTCCCTCAGCACCCTTGGCTGAATCCCATCTGGCCCCATGGACTTGTGGCAGTCCAGAGCAGTAGGTCTCTAACTGTTTCCCCCTGAATAGCACGGGGTTTATTCTGCTCCCCATCTGAGATGTCCGGGTCAGGGGGCAGAGTATCTCGAGGACGACTGGTCTGACTTTTAAAGATAGATGTAAAGAAGGCATTGAGAATCACAGCCTTTTCCTTATCCTCAGTGGTCATGTTCCCCAACAAATCTAGTTAAGGACAGAGATTCTTCTTAGGCCTCCTCATACTGTTAATATATTTGTAAAAAAGTTTCTTGTTCTCCTTTACCCCAGAGTCCAAGTTGAGTTCAACCTGGGCTTTTGCCTTTCTTTTGCCCTGCAGTCTGTAAAAGACTACCATCAGGATGTCAGCCTTGTTGGCCCTCCCCTGATCTTTACCTGTAGAGATTCAACCTCATCATCCCCAGCACTGAGCTCAACAACACTGAAGTACTCTATAACATAGAGAGCCACATCACTACCCCTCCTTCTTTGCCTGTCCCTTCTGAAGAGCATACAGTCATCCATTGCACCACACCAGCTGTGGCAGTGATCCCACCATGTTTCCGTGATGGCAACTAAGTCATAATTTATCTGCCACACAGTGGCTTCCAGCTTCTCCTGTTTCTTGCCTACGCAGCATGTATTGGTGTAGATGCACTTCAGCTGAGCCCCTTGCATAGCTCCCCAGTCTGTCATCATTCCTCTAGGCTTATTTCTAGCAGGTCTGGTTTTATCCCTTGCCCCCTTCATATCTACTTTAAAGCCCCTCAATGAGCCCTGACAGCTCCTGGGCTAAGATCCATTGCCCCCTTTGAGAAAGGTGAGAACCATCAGTAGCCATCAGGTTGAGCTCAAACCAACCCATGGTCGAAAACACCTGAATTCTTGCAATTGCACCAGCTTCTCAGCCATGTATTTGTGAGAGGTGTTTTCCTGCTCAACTCAGTATGCCCCCCTACCACTGAACAGATAGAGGAAAATATGACCCGCTCCATTCACTAACCACCCCAAGTCCCCTGAAGTCCTTTTTGATAGTCCTCAGGATTTTATTAGTGACCTCATTGCTGCCAGCCTGAATTATCAATAAATGATAATAACCAGAGGGGAGAGTCAGACTATGAAGCTTCCTAGAAATATCCCAGACCTGCGCCCCAGGGAGGCAGCACACTTCTATATGGGTAGGCCCTGGCTGACATGCAGGGCCCTCTGTTCCTCTCAGAAAGGAGTGCCTATGACAATCACCCTTCTTTCCTTCTAGGCAGAGGCAGCCCTTGACAACCTTGTGGGTGAACCTCCTGCTGCATCCTCACTCACCTCTCCCTCAAGTTCCAGAGCCTCAAACCTATTACAAAGGAGAACCTGGGGAACCGAGGTAGGTTGGGATGGGGATTGCCTGTGATGCTGAGCTGGAACCTGTTTCTACGCCTCCTCTTTTCTTAAATTACCTCCCTCTGCTTAACAATGATAGGGCATGGGGCCCATCAATGGAAAATTTGTTTTATTCCCCTCTATTATCCCACCCCTTCTAAGCTTCCAACTTCTGAAAGCCTTCTTCTGAATCTAATTATCAGCATGCTGTTTCCTATTACTCTGAATTTAGAAGTACAAGTTTCTCTTGGCATCACTCTGCAAACACATATCCATTGCAAATTCAGCAGGCCTGCTGCTGATACAGGGCAAAACACTTTGGCTCTTCTCCTTCGAAAGTGGCAAAGCAGCAAGCCCTGGCTGAAATCCCAGTCA